CCACGCTCCGGGGTTATTATTTAAACATGTTTTTGTTGAATAATTTTGTCGTTTTCGCTGAATAAAATCTGTTGGAAAAAGCCGCAATAATTATGCATCAACCCAATATTTGGTTGGGAGGAAAGTTTTGAAACACTCATTTCGCGCTCTTTCTGGATTTCTCCCGAATGCTCTGGAATCTTCCATGGGTGGTATATAGTAGGAGTGGACTGTGCTGCGTACGGTGCTCAAATCAGCTTTCCCAATAATGGCGTTTGCATCGCACAAAATCAACTTTTCCCGCGAGACCATCCGAGCGCTCATCCTGTGCGAACTTCGCCTGGAGACATCGGCCCACGAGAGGCGCTCAGAACCGGTCCAGTGGTAGACTACGGCACGATCTCTTCATTATAGCTTGAACGCTACGCAGCGGAGACTTTGATCCCTCTGACGCAACGCACGACTACTGTCCATCAAGACGTCGTCGCGCTGTAATCGAGGATGATTCAAGACAGTCGTCACACTGTATGGTAGAGCGTCTTGAGTGCTTCCACCGCACGTTCTTTAGGCTCTTCAGGAATTAGACAAGTCTTGGAAATGTGGTCGATGGGTACCGCACGATTTCACCGGGTGGACATCTGCACATGTACTTCTCGTCGCACAGTAGCAACGATAGGCCGCGGCATGTGGCCATTGGCGAAGACAAATGGACCGTCTGCTTCAACCATATGCGAAAGCAGCAGCGGTTTGGAATATGGGAAAGTGGAGTTTCAATGCCTTGACCTGACAACTATGGGGGAATGGTGATGTTGTCAAACTTTTGGAATTTTGACGGTATTTCCCATGGGTGATGTTCTGTCTGCAGGATTGACGATGACAAGGGCTACCCACTGCTAGCTGCTCGGAACGATTGCAGAAAAGCTTCACGGAATACAGCGACAAGTCAATCTGCTTCACGACAACGCGCGTCGGCGCGGGTCTTCGGTCTCAAGCCACAAGATTCTCAAGCTAGGCTGGACCGCGGTTGCCATCTGACATATACGATACAGGGTCTGTCCTATCGTTGCTACTTTTCGAAAAAATTTTTACGACCCCCCTCCCCCAACGTGGATTTGATACGACCCCCTTTTTCCTACCTCCACCATCTCCATCTTCCCTCATCCTCCACTCGCCCAGCCTACTACCCACGAAATCTTAGTTTCACCTCAATCCCACACGTGATTTCGAAGCGACTAAAGTGGGTACGACCCACCCCCCCTTCTACAAGCTCAAACAGTACGACCCCCCGTTTCTACTTCGTAACAACGTAGGGTTGACCCTGATACGATAACCTTTCATAAACGTCCTTCCACCTTTCGTGGCTCGCTCGTCATTACCGGCAAAGAACGATACGAAGCGTCGACGAGCGAATGTGAACTCCAAAATCTTTTAACACATTGACGACCGCGCGCGTTTTGGCTTTTTTGGCCGTGTGGGACCGGGCCGATTTTGCGAGTGCGACCGCCGCACCTCGGATCCGTGAATTTTTATTGATAACTTTTTAAAGCACCAGTGGTACAAAAACATCTCAGTAACAGTCAATGCGTAGAAGGTAATAGAGTATATAGTGACGAAGTTCCGATTAAAGAACATGTAATGGTAATGAAAAAGGAAACTTTAGTCATTTTATCTGTAGTGGATGCCAAAAGCTCTTTTGATGTGGTTATACCAAGTGAAACATGTATTTTTCTGTCTCTTTAGATTTGCATTTACTTTCACTACCCTTTTTTATTGACGTGTTCATGAGAATAGCATGAAAACTATTAATGAACCAAGCCGCCGGTTTCGGTGAGCTTGGAAAACTTCTTCTAAACTGGAGCATATTTGAACAAACAATGACCTATGTCGTTCACAATAATGTTATGTTCTAATCCATAGAAGAGAGACAAACAATTCGGGAAAAAGCTGCGCATGCCCTAGAAAACTCGTCCTAATTTCTACAAAATGTGTACACCAATTGCTTGAAGGTTGGCGTGTTGTTGCTGACTTTGATGGTCAATATGTTACGGGTCTTAGAACAAACAGAGAATAAAAAATATATTTCAAATTGTGGCCTGTGGGTGTGGCAAAACATTCTTTCATAACTAATTTATTATTATTTCCATAGCGTGTGTCTACTCGAGACAACATGAACAGGAACCACGTGGCGAGCTGTTATCATTGGCGGATCGGGACATAGAAGCAGAGCAAAGCTTTCTTGCTCTGAAAAGCACTTGAATTTTGATGTAGGCCGCCGAATTCCCTCTTCACCTCGCCTTGACTTATTCGTACCCCTGCATTTGCTGTTCAATTGTGAACGTAACTTTTCTTCGCTTTTCTTTTTCATTTTCCTCTCCCATTCGTCTCAGCACATCAGCAGAACCAAACCGTGCAATCTCGACTGGTATGAAAGTGAAAAACTACGCTTCCTGAAACATTGTTTCATGGTCTGATAGTGAGTATTTATTCCATAGGCTTCATTACGCACTGCGCCTCAGGAAACTCATGCAAGCCAGCTCCTCATCTCGAAGAATTCACCCTAGTCTCATTTTCTTAACACCCTTGGGAACGAATAAATGACTCTTGCAAAAATTGCATCCAATAATCAATTTGCCCCAATGCCAATCTCGGTTACGGTCGTCGTCGGGCTGCAAAACTTGTTTTGCCGATGTGTCGCCGTGCCGGCTCAGTTTGAATTTGCCTGTATTTCTAATGTGAAAAAGGAATTTGGGTGTTAAGAAGGTGAACGACCAAATCCTTCTATGTATAAGGTCTTAATCAATGTATCCCTTCCAAAATAGGACAACATATCAAAAAGTGGGTGGAGCTGCGATGGGGTGACGCGATTGCCCGCCTCAAATGGGCACTCACACACGATGCACTCTAATTCACGGTATTAACTCTTTTATGGAATTTGCAGTGGTGCACCAGCTTATTTGTCGCCGTCCTTCGCTCATCCCTCGATTTTTCCGTTCAACTATTTTTCAATAGAATTGCTCAAAAATATCTCATGAAAATTCGATTTGGTTGGATTGTTATTCCAATTATCGCGAAATTTCCAGTGTTTTATGCAGCGGGGTAGTTCTTTTAGCTATTCATTCGTATTTTTAATCAAATTTACCTTTTGTTACTCACGAATCCCGTCTTTGGGGAGGGAGGACATCCAAGTGAGTGAGCCAATTACTGTGCTTGGGACTAAGCCCTAGGGAGGGGAAGGGATCCTGGGGGAGCATGTGAGCAATTTGTGTCTCCCTGGCGTTCTCCCCTTTGTTGGGCATAGTTCTAGTCTCAGCTACATCGGCCTATTGTGAATATACCCTCCACATGAACGCCCACGATCCAAAAGCCTTCGAATTGATCCGAATTCACATTGACTTCAAAAACCTGTCGTCTCCTCGCCCCCAGGTTCCGTTTTATTGTCTTCCATTCACATCATTTTTCCACTTTCCCAGGACCTTTCGAGTAAGATTGGGCGGTATACTAACCATAAAGGGAGAATCAGTACAATAGTTCATCCAAGCAACAGTAATCCGGTTTTCCTCTGGAAGGAGGCTGCCAGGGGTGCAAAGTATATCGCATGTGCAAAAAAGTGGACCAACCATTTGAAATGGAATTATGAAAAGGCATTTATGGTTGCTAGACTTAGTTCGGGGGGCGGGCGGGACCCACGCGGCGGCGGGCGGCGCTTTGCTCGCCTGGCATCTTTGCGTACTTCGGGAAATCCGTGAGCCAGGGGGACTGTAGGCAGTCTAGGGGGTGGGGGGTGAGGGCAGTCACTTGACATGCGTGAAAAGCTGGAATGTTCGAGTTTACACTGTCTCGCTCGAGAGAGCCCAGGTGAGCAGACTGCCGCGCCGCCGCGTGGCCCCCCCCCAACTAAGTTAGCACCGGAATTATTTGTCCTGAATGAAAGCCTTGAGTTGAAGAACCAATCTATGTTCGTTGAGTGCTAAGTGAGTTGGGGGGGGGGGGAGCGGGGCACCGTCGTTTTTCGGCGCGGGGCGGAACTAGCTATCCTGTACAGGCGAGTGTAAGCTAGTGAACATTATGACTTGTGAGGGAATTTCGGCCTGCATTCGAGCTCCCTATAGGCCTAGGCCTCAAGGGCCATTGCGCTGAGCCGCGCCGCCGGCGCCGCACGGTGGTTCCACCCCCCGGCCCCTCCACAACTAACTTAAGCACCGCTTCGAAGTCCTGAAGCCCAACCAGTGGAATTCCCTCCCACGATGACCGGTGAGTGTACATACAGGCCCTGTTGGACAACGGGCACTAGTGGCAGGTGGCACCTTGAAAACATTCAACGGATGCTGGATATGGAACATTAAGCATTGCCAGCGAATCGCGCCTTGTTGGGTTCTACCGTGGAATGCTGTCGTCGATATTCTTCCGTTCAAAATGATTTGTCATGAAATTGATTGTGCCTAGATTTCGTGCTTTTTTCCTTGCAAGAACCTCACACTTTAGGCGTCCCTTTGCAGACTCGAACATGGAAAGCGGCAGTGATGGTGCTGCTTCTCGTCGCTGGCACGATCCTCCTCTCATCTGCCCACACGCACTCGCATGAACCTGAACCTGCCCATGCCAAATATACGAAAGAAGTGAACGAGAAGGTTCGTCGCTACTTTTGGGGCATTTATATCTGGTAAACATGAAATTGTTCACCATGTTGATATGGTGAAAGCGAGGTTTTGTAAGCCAACCTGCGGTCCACCAGTGGTCTATGGTCTGAAACATTCCATTCATACCATTTATCCATCACGTTGAAAGCACAAGTGCAGTATGCGGCTCTATCGCAAAAGACGAGGGTGTTATGGTTGCAATGCATTTCAAATCATGTAAAACATTTCCTTTTTCATAAAACGGGGATTACACCTTAGGTTGGGAGGAAAGGCTCCAAGATGGATAATCAATATTCATGTTCCCCGAAGTTCCTGTTCCCTACTGGGCTCAATCCTAAAGGATCCCCGTATCTCGCAATAGCGCCCTGGTTGACAAATGTACGTGCCTTCATGATTCGAAAACCCATTGTTTAGACAGAATGGCGTGATGGTCTAAAAACAGAAGGGAGAGGGAGAAGTGGTTGAATAGTCACACACATATCGTCATGCTACGACCTTATGGGTTAATTCGATTACATAAGAGTTGAACAAACACGTTTCACAGATAAAGAGACTTCTGAAATGATCACTAATAGAATTGTCCAGAAATGGACGTCGTGTCTATTTGGTTTGATTCTATAGACTCTATCACAAAAAAGTCCAGGCTCAAATGCTGTTAGATGTTGCACCCTTCATGTCATACTTATCAACAGCCTTCCAAAAAGGACCTTCGAGCTCGGGTGGCCGTCAAATGACGAACTTACATATTAGGAGTAACAGCGAACTCAAACTAGCGAAAAACCGTAACGAATATTGTGTTTTGGATTTTTTCTGTGTTTTTTGCTTGCTGTTGGTTCATGCACTTGGTAGTTTGATCAGCTACGTAGATGGCAATTGAATAGTGAATTTGCGAGTCTGAATTCACAGTCTCTGTATAGAAGGTGTGAAAGTTGGAGGTATGAAAACATACAATACAAAAGGCAAAGAGGAATTGAAGACTTTGGTTCGAAACGGCTTGTATTCTTTTAGCAGGTAAGAAACTTGCGCATTGTTATGAGAAGTTCAAGGTGATGTCTTTGTTATGGGAGACGACCTCGCATAGTAACACTTGAATAATCGCGATGAAAGTTTCAATTTATATGGTTGCATTTTGGCCCAGTCTCATCAGAGCTTACAAGCACATTCTCTTTCTTCCGTCCATCTTTGACTGTTCCCATTAAATCTCAATGTATAAGATCTTCCTTTCTTCAAATATAGCTGGGTTGCGCCCTAGTTCAGCTTATTTCGTTTCCCAGATTGGTCCCCCGGCAACCGTCGGAACCTCCCTCACCTGGGTAAGCTTGCGTTCCTCTCCTTCTCCTTATCCTCTCTCTCCCTCTCCCTCCCTCGCTCTCCAGCTGCCACTGCAGCACCTCGTGGAATGACCGGAAGTAAGCTACGTAGATGTCTCAATAATAGCTTTGGGGGGTGCGGGACTTTTGGCTCGTCCGGCCTGTCACGCGGCGAGTTCCGCGGCGGCACGCGCGGCGATCTGGACGGGACAAGGCTTCGCGGTTTCTTCGGGTAGAATTCAACACGTCAATGCGTGTGCAGATTGCGGATAAACTCCACATGGTTCTGCTGTTTGAAAATCTTTCCGCTCGCGGGGGTTGGAAGCAGCAGTATCGGTGAGGAGAATCCAGCGCAAGGAGTTGAGTGAGGGCATTCATGTAAATGTCACTACTACCATCAAAGCAAATAAGAGTCACTAAAATTGGGAGTTGTTGAGGTATTTAACGTCAACTATATATGTTTTGCTGATCGAGGCGCTCACGTTCCAAAGGAGAAACATTCGAAACAAAACAACAAAACAGGGTCGACGGTAGGTCACTAGGACTAAGCCCAGCACAGGAGAGGAACGCCAGGGAGAACACAAATTACTTCCCCCAGAATCCCTTCTCCTCCCTAAGTCTCGTCCCAAACACAGTGATTGGCTCACTCACTTGTTTGGGACGGACTCGGCCCAATTGGAACGTCGCCCCCCCCCCCCCCCCAAAGACATGAGCGCCCTGATTGCCGTAACAGCACTACGCTAGTTCCTTCTTATCTCTTTCTACTGTTACAACCACCGCTGTCCTCAAAATTCCAGCCGTTCAGATGTATTTCGTATTGCAGAACCTTGCGGATTTTATCCGCAATCTCCACACGTTGACGTGTTGAATTCCCGCGATGCGTCGACGCGCGCCGCGCAATTTGCCGCGTGCCAACCCGGACGAGCCAAAAGTCCGTCGCCGCCGTTTGTGGGTAAAATCACAATTCATGCCGCAAAAACATTGATAGCGCAATCTGCGAGCTACCCAGATTTGTTAGCGGCCTTGTTTATTCCATTAGCTGCCTTATCACTCACTTCATTTTGCGGACGGACAGACAGACAAACATACATACACACAAACAAACCGACACACCAAGGTTGTGGTTTATATGAAGAGATGAAGTACGCTCTCTGCTACCCATTCCAGTACTCTCCCATAATCGATGTATCTTTTTTAGCATTAACTTTATGCAGTGATCGACGGAATCTAGACCGTTACAACTTTTCTTTTCAGTGACATTTAGGCTGGCAGAAATGAAAATATTTAGTAAATATGTGTATTTAATGAAAAAATTCATTCCATGCTATTGAAGCAGAAGTTCATTTCTGCCTTCTTTTTCGCGCCCAATTTTTCGGATAGAAAAACCATTCGGTCCTCAGGACGCTGTTATAGTAGACTGTTCTGAATAAGGATCCAAAATGGCTCAAGAAACGTCGGCTTTCTTGTTTTCATTAGGTTAATGAGCTTTGATGTTGGTTGCATTTATTCCCTCAACTCTGCTCAGCTAATTCTTCTAGCACCACATTATGAGAGAGCCTTCGATGAAAAGAGGAAGTCAGGTATCCTGGAGGGGAATTTTGATACAGTACCGCTCAATTTTCGTAATTGAAGGTTTAATGAAAGGGAGTCAAAGAGAGATGAGAGTGAATGAAGAATGAGCCACATCACTTTCATATTCATGTTCACATTCCAAACGTTTGGCTTCAGGCAGCTCGTGAGCTGGAAGAACTAGAAGAGCACGGTCACTCGCATGAAGCTCACGGTCACTCACATGACTCTCACGGCCACTCGCATGAAGCCCATGGTCATTCTCACGAATCTGGCGGTGGATGCCCATATTCTCATGGCGAACATCACAGTCATGATGCTCATACTCACAGGTTCTCATTTAGTAAAACTTGCAGCATTCCAATTTGGCCATAGAAATTTTGTTTGCGTGGGAACTTCCCCAATCGATGTTCCAAATACAGAGGTACCAACTTGATACAATCACGCAAGGGCGGGATGCTGTTTAAAGTGCGGCGCATTTCTGAAAATCCTTGTGCGCGTTTACAACCGCTTTCAGATTTCCACCTGTTCTTCCTTTCTGTGAATGAATAATCTGAATTTTCATTTTTTTTTTCAGTCATTCCCACGGCAAAAACGAGCACGCCCACAACGAATTCGCCCGGGGATCGGCCCGGTAGGTCTCGCTTCTTTTTAGTTATTACTTCGCACTGCAACCGTGAAACTACAGTGTTCAACTTCGCCCACACCTGTGGCTGCATGCAATTGGCGCTACACTGCTGATCAGTGCCAAGTAACGTGCACATCATTCTTTCCTTTCGTGATCGATTACATGGTCTTCAGGACAACTCTCCTTCTAACGGACCTTGGCTCAAAGTTCTTCTTGCGTTTGGATCGGGCGGTTTGCTTGGAGATGCGTTCCTACATCTGATTCCTCATGCTGTGCCGCACAGTTCTGGCTCTCATGCGCATTCGCATTCACATTCACATCAGGAAGGTGGTCACAGTCACGAACCGCATGACATGAGCGTTGGTGGATGGGTACTCGCAGGTACGTTCACATTTACTTTTCAGTGATCCATGTACGAATATTTTGTCGCGTGCCTTTATTCACGTGATATTTTAAAGGCATAATTGCGTTCTTGCTGGTTGAGAAATTGGTGCGAATTATTCGTGGAGAAGACAGCCACGGTCATGGACATTCCCATGGCCATTCTCCTTCTAAGTCTGAAAAGGTACGAGCGTTATAGGCTTTGCTATATGCAAGTGTCACTGGGTTTATTGCTTTGAGCCCTTGGTGCATATCTTATTTGCCATTGTTGTAAGGAAATATGTGGAGCAATCCGCTCATATATTTTCAATTGCGCTAGTGCTAACGCGAAGGTCTCAGTCACGGTGTCACATTCTTTGGAGTGGGCAGCGTTCCGGTCTCCCTTGCACGCCTCATGGAGTGTGAATGCGCCCACCAGGTTTTCCATTCTATCTCTGAGCTTATGGCGATAGAATTGAAGTAGTCTGCACAATTTTCCGAAGTCTCTGCAAATGTGATCCTTCGTGAAGGGGATAGATGTCACGATTACGTTGTATCACATGATTGCCGGTCCAGGAGCCCTGATGTAAGGCATGTTTAATTTGTAAGTCTGTTACGATTACGTTGTAATCAATGTTGTTTAATTCAAGTCATTTTCGCTTCTAGATTGACTTGGACAGATTTCTGCAGTGGGTACAGCTTAGGCTGCCTTACGGACCTAATAACGGGTGGTCTTGCATCGCGAGCAATTATGTTTGTGCTTGGTGACAGCTGACAGTCGTTGAGCCGCGGCGCACCATTCGCGTGTTGTGCTTCAAACACCGTAACAGGAGCGCTGGCCAAAAGCACGAGAGCAGTGCTAGACTATAGGGTATATAGTCAATTTGAGGCAAATTGCCACATACTGCGGCTACAAGTCATTTCGAAATGTCTGTCACGGCTATTCCACATATTTCCTGAAATGTTAAGTCTATGCTCAAGCTAGTTCATCTTTCTGAGGGTCAATGCATGGAGTGAATTCCGTGATATGGTGTTGTTAAACCATCATATGCTCCTACGCTTTCTTCAGCTCGCTGATCTTTTGGCAGAGAGTGAGCGTTGCCATTGTGAAAGGCTGCCATTTTTCACTCAAAAATTTCAGCTACAATTAAGGTACTCCTATAAAGTGGTTGCTAATAAAGGAAAAAAGGATAAGAGCATTTGCCGTTGATCAATCCCGTTTTGGGATGCGGCACGCATTCTACTTCCATTTGTAATTCGTAGTGGCATTTGAATGCGATGTGGCCTATACAATGACTTGCGGGGGCCAGCCGATGTACAAGTCAGTGTTTTTATCCTCCCAGACAAGTCTGGTACCAATTCGACTCGGAGGGATGGAAGGCCTGGTGACCTGACCCAGAATTCGATCACCGGACTGTGCGCGTGGTGAGCAGGGCCGCTTACCATTGCAACGCTTCCCTATTGCTAGATAAGATGTGCCAACTTAACCTGGTAACGTGTTAATCGGTGGGAAAAGTGACTGGTGAAATTGCGTTTTAGGCTTACCCGTTCCAGCTCAGAAGTTTTTCTATCGTCGCTAGTGTAGCAGGAAGCATTG